GCTTACCTATCAGTGATTATGGACAAGTGAGGTCTAGCTCTATGCCCTGCTTACTAGTCATGTTGTACATGTTACATTACAGTTTAAAATTAGCTATTGTAATGATAAAATTCTTTGTTGAATCTTGTTCTTAAAGTTGTGGATGGAGGTGGCTTCCACAACTTTTAATGCATTCTGCTTGTTGACCACTCATATGGGATATGAATATTTACTTACATTTCTTCAACTTATTTGTGTTTCCAGCTTCCATTTCTGCCTTCTCTTGCTGTCTCTCAATTTAAAGAAGCTATCTCGTCTGCCTTGTCTGTTCCCTGCAGTATCTTATATGTTGTGATCCTCTCTCCTATGTTTCTTCTGTTCTCCAGGGTTGTGAGGTCCAGTTTCTTCAACCTATCCTCATAAATTAACTCGCTTAGCTCTGGAGCTAATCTAGTCACAGACCTTTGCATTTTTTCAATTATAGTTTTGTTTCACAAAGTGTGGCTTCCAGGCCAGAGCTGCATATCCCAGTATTGGTCTAATTAAAGCTGTGTAGATTGCCTTGAAAGAGTACTGATACAATGTTCTATTGCTTGCCAGCATCCCATGTCACCCTGCCTGTGTGTGCCTCTGGTGTTAGTGTTGAAATTACATCCACTCCCAACTCTTGTCCTTTCTCTCATTCCTGTAGTTGCTTTTCATTTATGGTGTAGGCACCTTCTAGTCTTCTTTCTACTTTCCCCAATCTCATTACCTTACACTTATTGGGATTGAACTCCTGCATCCATTTGCTTTCCCATTCCTGGAATTTGTCAAGATCCTCCTGTAACATTCTGCAGTCCTCCTCTGTTTTTACATTTCTTATTATCTTTGCCTCATCAGCAAACAGTGACAAGTACAAGCTCACTCCCTCGTGTAGCTCATTTATTTATTCATTTATTTATACTCTTATATATAAGAAGGTACATTGGGTTTATGAGAGTGCATAGCATTGATGTTTTTGCATTCTTGCAAGGCCACTAACACGCATAGCATTTCGGGCACATCGTTAACATAACTTAGGAACAGTAGTGGTCCCAGATTCAAGCCTTGGGGGAACCCCATGTGTAACATTACTCCAGCTCACCTCTGACTGTGACTATTTGGGTGCAATTCTAATAGGTATTGGTTTGGTAGGTACCACTCTGATAGGTGGTGTTTTGATTGGTACAGTTCTGATAGGTGGTGTTATGAGAGGTATAGTTCTGATGGACACAGTTCTGATAACCCACAGATATAGTAAAGGGACAGTTCTAATAGATACAGTTATGATAGATATAGTTCTCAGCAGTGCAGGACTTATATGTACAGTTCTGATAAGAACAATTCTGATTACAACAGTACAATTCTGGTAGATAAAGTTCTGATTGGCGCAACTCTGAGAGGTAAAGGTCCAATTGATAGTTTTGTTAAATACAATTCTGAAAGGTAGTGTGCTCTGGTACAATTCTGATTAGTACATATGAACTACAGTAGAAATCCTTAAGAAATATACATCGGTACATACAGTATTTATTAAAGATCTGAATAAATAGTTTATTGACAGTGTTGTATGATTGAATAACAATGCAATTGCTTCCTAAAGCAATTATTTTTTCCTTGTTTATGCAAGATGCAGAGAGGTGATTTAACTATAGGGTCTTTTATTATATATTTACTGTATTTATTTATATACACAAAGGTAAAATGGGTTGTGAAAGTGGATATGTCGGTCATTTAAGTAGAACAATCTTGCAATGCCACTAACACGCATAGCGTTTCAGGCAAGTCTTGGAGCCAACACAAAATTTGCACTGGAATTACAAGGCAAAACAGTCAATCTTGAACATGAAATAGACTTGGTCATACAGTAATAATTTTTTAACTACCATATATATTTTTAAATGTTCAAGAGCTGCATATTAATAAAGTTACTGCAATAGTTTATTTTCATTGAGTCATAAAACATTACTGTCAGCAATGTATAAAAGTTTGCAAGATTTGCAATTAATAAGCAATAAGAAATACTAACTGAAGAACTCAAAGAACCAATACAATCAAAAAATGTAATGTGTGCAATGATGCAATATCTTATTTATGGAGGTAGTGATACATTATTGCAATTATTGTACAAGTACTGGTATTTTGTCGCTTCATATTAGATATAAACTTGTCTGAAGTTCATTAGGCTCAAAAAGGTCTTCTCCATATATAGCATTTAGTATTTATTTTTACATATGGATTATATATTGCTATACAGTATGTGTATTTTGCATGATATACAGTGTCTGAAAACCCAAATTGGAAGTGGAAATATAGCATGTATGACCCTGAATAATAATACACATATGTATACTGCTACAGTATTAATGTTAGTTTTATAGGTAATTATTTTATCTATAATATTTGCATATTAATTTTAGTGGAATAGATTTTATTGGACGAATGGATTACAAATTATTTTTCTAAAATGTGTTCATGAATGTTATCGTAAGTTAAATTTTTTCATCGCAAGATTTTGCCAGTTCATTATTTTCTTTGGATTTATTGTAAAGATACAGTAATGTTAATCATTAGTATATTTTGGTAGCAGTCTTTCTTGTAAACATATGTTGTTGAATATGACCGAAAAAGTAAGATTAATAATTCTAACACGAATAAGAAATATTGAAAAAATTCGTGTTAGAATTATTAATCTTACTTTTTCGGTCATATTCAACAACATAATGTTAATTAATAAATATAAATGTGACTTGCAGATCAAGCAACTAAAATTTTTAATAAATTGTTTTTGAATGTTTAAGAATGATAGTTGCTGCACAACTTGGACAATTGTTTGCAAGGGAAAAGTTAGACCTACAAGATCTGTTGTAGAGAAATGCCTCTCTCTCTATGATAGGCAGCTAGGTATCACTAAGGTTCAGAAACATTTGTACTCGGCAGCATTTAAGCAGAAGATATACATTGGCAAATGCATGTCAGACTAAATTATATGAATGTATAAAATCACTCTAGCTAAGGATAGTTTTAGGATAACAAAACAGTGTACAGCATGGATAACCAATTCGACAAAAGTTATCACCGTCCCTCAGATGTCCTAACTTCACAACTTCCTTGATTTGCTTTGCGTTGGGAGTCGACCTATGGCTTTACTTACCCTCAGTTTTCAGTTGCCTTGTCCCTCCTGCAAGATTGATCCATGCCTCAAGCTCTCCACTCATCTTGAATGTTTTGTTCTGCTACGTCTATATTAACTTATGCCTTTCTTTTTCTTAACTGCTTTTCTATTTGACAAAGCCTTCAGTTCCACTGTCTGTTCTTAATCTGCAAGTGAACAATACTTTTAAGATCCCCACAGCAAGCCTCCTAAGTTAGCCAACACCACACACATTTATAAGTAGCTTATTTTTCATGTTCTGCCTGAATAATCTAATCTCAAATTAAAAAAATTAAAAAATTCAAATGTTTATTTAGGTAAAGTACATACATACAAGGGGTGATACAAATATTGATGAATTTATAGATAGAGCTAGTACATACAATGCCTAAATCTCTGAATCACTACAGCCATTTAGATGTTCCTTCACCTCCAGTGATGTTTTAACTGCCCCATCAGGTCCAAAATGACTTATATAGTTGACACGTATGAACCATCAGTCAATTGTCTCGATCCTTTCACTGCTCCATCCCTTCATCCATCTTGTACAGTCAGCTATGTTATTCTGCTGTGTTCTTCCTAATCTCTTTATCTACCTGTCCCTGAATCTTATCTATTTGCCTACCTAATCCTTGAACACCTTGAACTTCTCGACTCATCTCTTCTATTCGTTCTTGAATTCCTTGCCTCTTTTTTCACCTGTTCATTGAACATCTTATTACTTTATGTACCTGCTTCTTGAACACCCTTATTTACCATATTCACACCAATACTCCCTTTAACCTAGCGTTCTCTCGCCCTTCAGCTGGTTGGGTCCCTTATAGAACCAGTTGAAGGCTTGCTTAGCAAGTTATATTTAGTGTTGACGAAGTAGCTTAGATACTGTGTGGGGTGGTTGCACATGGCTCAGGGTCTTGCTAACTCATGATCTACCCACCCCCACTGCTCTAGTTTCTTTTTTCTCTCTCGTCACCGTTTCCCTTCCACTCCACCCCTCCCTCTTCACCTCTTCCTCGTCACAATGTTTAAACATACCCTGATAACAAATTGTGACATGTTTTGGGTTGTTTGTAATGTGAAGGTGCAGCAAGGAGCAAGGGGTAGTGTGCGTGACTACAACTCCTGCTTTGAGTTAGAATGGCCTGTGAGCAAGGTAGGCTCAGTAACATAAAATACTTGCATTCATGTGTGTGTGAATGCTTAAAGGGTGAGGGATGACCTGGACTTCCCTGACTTGCTCATCAACTCTTGGCTTCCACTTCAGATGGTCTGATTACAAATGAGAATCTCCTCGCACCTGAAGACAGGTTGCCAATGCAATTTTCATGGTAAATAAAGTAAAATAAAATATTAACAATAATGCACTTTCAAATTGTACAGTACCTGTATATCCATTTCCTCGTTACAAAACATGAAGTCAGTATTTGAAGGCTCAAAATACGTGGAGTCAATTTTGGCAATTTATTAATCTAAACTTCCTTAAAAAGGTAACGCATCTCTATTTGTGCCTAATCTCTTGTTAAGTTAAAGTTCTGCTTGTAAAGGGCTGTAGTTCCCTCTATTAAGAATTCATTAATATGCAGCCGATGAATCACAACAACGTGGATGAAGAAACGATGAGGTTTCTGTCCTTCCTGGACCGAAATGTTGTCGTTTCTTCATCTTCTGGTGTGTGGTTTGGTTATCATTTGATTAATACCTTGAATGAGAACTGCATTTGGTATTAAGTCTATGATAGGTGTTCATATGTTTTATAAGCATATAGGAAAAAGACAAGAGATAGGCTGTATTGTAATCTGAGAAGGGGGAGCTCAGAGTTGAACAGTGCCATTTTCTGTGGTTACAGACAAGACTCGAGCAAGTCAGGGGAGAGAGATAGTGTCTGTAAGACTGAATACTAAGGATGATGCCCATGTCCTCAACAATGTTTCTGGAGCCACGGCCCAGCCACCACCTGGTAACGATAAATTCGTGCCCTGCATTGACTTCAACATATCTCCTAATGATTTAGCCCTTGCTACAGTACCTGGACAGGACTTTGACCCACGAACTCGATGCTTCTCGGAGGAGGAGCTCAAACCTCAGCCCATGATCAAGAAGAGTCGCAAACAGGTATGTATTAAGCAGGATTTACAATGTTTAGTAAGGTTGCTACATATTGATGGAGTTTTACCAAAAGACACACACTGACACCTAAGGAATATATACCACACACAAACACAGTGACAATAGTCCTAGTCAACATGGGTTTGGAGTAGGTCACTTCTGCTTCTCACAGCTTCTTTTTTAAGACAATAATTATCTCAAGGTTGGAATACCTTTGCATATTAACTGCTCTATTTAAAGCTGGCTAATTTGTTGAACTGCAAAATATGCAGAAAAGGTTTCTTTTCCATGACCCAAATTCATTTAATAAAATACCTAAATTATTGGAAATTCTTGAAATCATCCATATTGTATTTCCTGAAATGGAGATGAGAGAGATGCATCATAATCTCTTATCAACATCATAATTCCTCACAACAGGAGGTATGGTAGAATGTGCACAATCTAGAAAGTTAAGAAGTAGGGGTGCAATAATTACAGGAACATTTTTTTTAACACTTCTGAAGGGTACATGACTAACATTGCAGAATGTGTTCATGTAATAAAAAAAATAGAAAATGTTAGGAATAAACTTGATAAATGGATACAACTTGAGTTTCAGATCCTATTTTGTAATAGGTACAATACTCACACAACTCCCATACACAGCTCTCCAAACATTCCTTCCCACACCGCTTGCCTACCAATGAATGAGCTACCAGAAGGAATACAGAATTATATTAAAATGTTTGCTAATGATGCTAAGCTACTGGGGAAAGATAAGAGACTTAGACAATTGTCATGCCTTCAAGGTGACCTGTAAAGAGTAAGTGTATGGCGCAAATGGAATTTAATGTAAATAAATGCCACGTTATGGAATATGTGGAATTGGAGAAAATAAGCCACACAGCTTACAAGTTAGGTGAAAAGGCTTTAAAGAATTCTGATAAAGAGAGAGATCGAGGGGTAGTTCTGGATGGAAAACTGTCACCTGAGGACTACGTAAAGAATTTTGTGCGATGAGCCAATTCTACACTTTCTAACTTAAGGATTGCTTTTAATTATATAGATGGCAAAATATTAAATAAATTATTCACAACCTTTATGAGGCTAAAATTGGAATATGCAGCAGTTGTATGGTGCCCATATGTCAAGAAGCATATCAGCATACAGTACAGTACTGGAAAAGGTGCAAAGATGTACAACTAAATGGCTTCCGGAACTGAAAAGCAAGATCTACGAGGAGAGGCTAGAATTGCTAAATATACCAAAGCTAGAAGATAAAAGAAAAAGAGGTGATATGATCACTATGTAGAAAATTGTAACAGGAATCGACAAAATTAACAAAGAAGAATTCTTGAAAACTGCAACTTCAAGAACAAGAGGGATGTAGATTCCAAGTAAGGAAACAAAGCCACCAAGAAAACATTAGAAAGTTCACTTTTGCAAACAGAATGGTCCACAGTTCAAACAACTTAAGTGATGTGGTGGATGCCAAAATTGTCAGTACTGTAGTTTCAAAACTCATGACATAGTATTGGGAAGACGGGACACCACGAGCGTAGCTCTCGTTCTGTAACTACACTTTGCTTCCTTACAGTGTCATAAACAGAGCCACCTATTCACAGCCCTTCCGATTCACAACCTCCCGGATTCACAAACTCTCCATTTACAGCACCTTCCCCCCCCCCCCTCCCCACATTCACATCCTTACTCATTTACAGCCCCTCATCCCATTCACAGCCCCTCATCCCATTCACAGCCCCTACTCATTCACAGTTCCTTTCCACAAATTTACAGCCCCACCTCCAGCCATTCACAATCTCCCCCTACTGATTCACAGCTCCCACTCATTTACAGCCCACAATAATTCACAGCCCCCCACCCATTCACAGCCTTCCACCCATTCACAGATTACCACCCACTAACAGCCCCTACTCATTCACAGCCACTCCACTCACACATAACTCCCCCCCCCCCCCCTGCTGCCACAGCCACCCCACCCACTCACACATAACTTTCCCCAGCCCCGCCCCTGGCTGCCATATACAATGTCCTCCTACAAATTTATCTCCTGTGAACAAAGTAAGATGAATAGATTAAATTTAATGAGAATGTAATTCATGTCAACACCAATGGAAGAATTCAAACTATGTGACAGACTGTAGAGAAGACGGGATACCACAAACCTAGCTCTCATCCTGTAATTACACTTAGATAATTACAGTCTTTTCATACAGTATATGCAGTTTGGTAGTATAGTTGGGTTCATTCTTGACTCACAATCGGTAATCTCAGATTCAAATCCCGCGTGGGGCAGAAATGGTTGAGCATGTTTCATTTCCCATTACTAAATGCCTCTATTCACCTAGCAGTAAATAGGTACCTGGGAGTTTGGCAGCTGTTGTGTGGGGGTTGTATCCTGGGAAGGATACAACTGTGTCCTGTACCCAATGTATCCTGGGGTAATAACCCTTTCCCCAGTTTGACCTGGGGAGGGGGGTTTAGACCTTGCTATAAGCCTCATGTATATACTGTAGTGAATATTCACAGGTTACTTGTTCCCAAGAAAAATGAATATACAGTATATTGTATAATTATAATAAGATGTTTTGTTGGGTATATTAATCCTGTTTATATACAGTATATACTCTTGGCTTGTTTCAAGGGCCTTCCAGTGTCAAGCTACTGCCCTTCTCCATATGCAACCCCGCAACAGTTGCCTAATTCTTGGATACCTAGTTTTACTGCTAGGTGAATATAAGCATTAGGTGAAGGTCAATGTGCCCAATCATTTATATCCCACTCAGGAATTAGATTGTTACAAATTTACAATCAATAATTAAATGATTTAGATTGTTAGATAATTTAAATAAGTATTTTACCACAATTGTTTCGTGGATCAGTTTATATTAATCAGATTAATATTCAAGGCTTTGGAAGCTCCTTTTATGTTATATCTACTGTACACATTATTTCCATAAATTTTTTGTATTTTTAAAGACAATCATGAATCAGTTAAATTTACAAAAATTTGGTATACTGTATTGTACAGTATTTGTTTAATTTATAAAGAGATTGCAATGCAACTTTCAAACCATTCCAACACTCAGTCAACTCAGAACTAAAGAATATGTGACATGTACTAGTACTTATTTCAATTACAGTAGCTGTATATGACAAGATTGTTGAGTGCCATATATGTACTGTATTACAGTTTGTTCCACATGAATTGAAGGATGACAAATATTGGGCACGACGTCGGAAGAATAATATGGCTGCCAAACGTTCTCGAGATGCGCGAAGGCTCAAGGAGAATCAAATTGCTATGCGGGCTAACTTCCTAGAGAAAGAGGTAAGCAATTTTCTTATGTGACCCCCACTCCCCCTGCTAACATGTTATGAAACCGTTTTAGGCTTTCGACCATGCTTGACCATTGGGAGCCGGTCGGCCGAGCGGACAGCACGCGGGACTTGTGATCCTGTGGTCCTGGGTTCGATCCCAGGCGCCAGCGAGAAACAATGGGCAGAGTTTCTTTCACCCTATGCCTCTGTTACCTAGCAGTAAAATAGGTACCTGGGTGTTAGTCAGCTGTCACGGACTGCTTCCTGGGGGTGGAGGCCTGGTCAAGGACCGGGCCGCGGGGACACTAAAAGCCCCGAAATCATCTCAAGATAACCTCAAGATGTTACTGACAATTTGCAGGTGATGAGTCACAATAACGTGGCTAAAGTATGTTGACCAGACCACACACTAGAAGGTGAAGGGACGACGATGTTTCAGTCTGTCCTGGACCATTCTCAAGTCGATTGTCGACTTGAGAATACTGCCTCCTCCTTCCCTGAAGATTTGTTGTACTGCCTAGCTAGTTCAACAATCCATTTACCATTTTCATATTTACGAATGATCTCTTGTTTTCCTCTATGGTCATCCTCACATGTGTTTTCTTAGGTTGAATCTTACCACTGACTTTCTTGGGACCTATGGCATGATATATAATAATTACCTTTATGTTCAAAACCCCCCAAAAACCAGAAAACTATGAAATTATTTACAAAGAATTCAAGCGTGATCGACACTAGATTGACTGCCACCGGGAACCACGTGCTCAGTCGCCCATATGCGTATCAACAAACTATGTAACTCAAGGCAAAGCTCGTAACCCGATTCAAATTTTATGAAGAAATTGGGCTTGTAACCCGAAAAATATGTAAAGAGGGGCATTCGTAAGCCGAGGTGTCACTGTATATGATTCATACAATATATAATGGACATGTTTAAGTAGTAAACATAATTGGTAAGTACTAATTGTATATTATATTTAACCACTTAACACATACAAAAGGTAAGCTTGTATTTATCTGAAACTTCTCTAAATTATATATTTTATTCTCATTTGCCTAATTTCTACTTTACTATGGAAGGTGTATTTTGGCAGTACAGTATATAATTTACAGTACAGTATTTAAGATGTAGACTTGAATGTTTAGTGTTTTTGTTTGGAATAACTGATGACAATATTTACGGTAAAGCCTAATAATATAAATTTATATTGACAGAATACTAATACTGTAATAATAATGCACAAAGAAATTACACTAACATATTTGTACCTGTGAGAAAATCAGTCCGAGCTATGACGAGGATTTGAAACTACAAACTGGGTACAGTGCTCCCACGCACATGCCTTAAACTGCTACACCACGACATGCTCAAGAGCAACACAATCTGGGATTCAACTGAATCCTCTAGGTGTTCTGAGGCTTCCACTTAAGCCCAGTCAGGGTTTTGCACATGGCCCCTTACCCCTTGTACTCTGGCTGTGCATTGCTTTTGACCATGTCATGGTGTTGTAATTACCTAAGTGTAATTACCTAAGTGCAGTTACAGGATGAGAGCTACGCTCGTGGTGTCCCGTCTTCCCAGCACTCTTTGTCATATAACGCTTTGAAACTACTGACGGTCTTGGCCTCCACCACCACCTTGTGGTCTAAGGCGTGTGCTTGGAAGTACCCAGTGTGCAGGATCCAATCCTCGTCATGGCTCCTACTGATTTTTTCAGTAATAATAATGATAATTATAATGATGCTGAATTTTTTGCAAAAATGATAAAAATGAAGGAAATTATAATTACTGTGAATAGATAATGTGTTAAAATAGAATAGATTTTATGCAAATCCTCTTGAGATGTAAAGCATTTCAGGCCACTCTAAAGGTAACGAAGATCATTATAGTGTACAGTACATGTAGATCAGTAGTGGGTTTACAGTGGGAAACTCAGTCTTGCACACACAGAGTATTTAAATGCTAATAAGTTCAAATAGTTATCGTAGCCTATATTTATTGGAAGACATGAATTATTTTATTGACATATGTTTGTGATAAATTGTTTTTTTTTAGATAGAAGTGCCATTCATATTGTATATTTTCAATGTTGGCATAGTTAATGTATGCAAAGCGTTACCTAAAATTAATTATTGTCTCTGAATTTATTTAACTTCGATTATAAAATTTAGAACATATCATGATTAGGACCTATATGATTATTACAAATAGAATTTTTTATTATAGAATTGAATCATAGAATAGAATACACAAAGCTTTCTTAAATATTTGATATGCAGCCCATGACAGGAAAGGTTTGAGAGGGTGAAAATGCATTAGATTTATAAGAAAATAAATAAATAAATAATAATAATTTCATTTTGAAAATCTACAGAAGAACATGATACAGTGGTTAATTAGTTACTGCAGAAAATAGATATATTTAATAAAACCACTAATAATCCACTAATTAGTACAAGTTAAAAAAAGCTGTCTTACGGAATGAATATATCATCATTCTGCATAACAGTAAATGCAGGCACCACATATTCCAGCCATTGCTGGTAGATTATGAGTGGTGCTTCAAGTGGTTTCTTCAAGTGGTGCTTCAAGTGGTATCTTTTGTGTGCTAGTTTATTGACGTGTACTTTTCTTCCGCGCAGAATAATGCCCTGACTGCAGAACTGCAGAAGGCTCAGGCAGTGATGGAATCATTGAAGAAGAGACTGGCTATGTATGAGGCAGTCTAATATTCCACAACTACTCCACACTTATGGTTAGGATTTTGTTCTTGTTGACTCATGAAAAATGCAGATTACAAAATTAGTTGTTAAATTTTGGTCAGAGAGGGGAGTTTATTGGGCAGGGTCACTCTTTCTGTGAGTAAACATACTGCCATAAAAGCATGTACAACACCTTCCAATAGGAAGAAAATGCACATTTTAAGATTGTCTACTAAAGTTAAAGGCAATGTGGTATACAAAATTGACAATTGTCGATCATACGTAGGGACATGCCTAGGTCATGTCTGCTGACTTGCACTTCAAGCTACACACACAGCCCCTTGCCTCTTCTTTGCTTAATACTCTTATCTGCAAACTTAACCCTCTGCTCTTCCATCACTCCTGTCCCCTATTGCCCCCAGCATCACTCTCACCCCTTTGGTGAACATGGCATGAGTGGATCGATCTCCATGGTATGATTTTCTTTTTATTTTATAACCTTGTACAACTGCTTAATTCCATACAACTTTTTTTTTTCCTCATGATACACTAACTGTGGTGGTGGCACACACATGTATCCCACACCCTGCGTTGTACCGAATTTTGTGTATACAGGTGCTCAACTTAAATGCTTCTGATCAATTAAATAAATAATAAATAATAATAAATAAATGTTTATTCAGGTAAGGTACATACATACAAGAGATTTTACAAAAATTGATAGATTTATAGAAAGAGCTAGTACATACAATGCCTAAAGCCACTATTACGCAAAGCGTTTCGGGCAGGAATTAATGAATACACAACTGTTTAATGTTATTTGTTAGCTTTCTTTATAGAGTAGACTTTAAAAATAATTATATAAGGTTTGTTACAAAACTTATGGCATATTTGAAAGATGAGACATTGTTCTATAATATATCCAAATATATGTATTATGATTATAAAAGAAAGATCAAATTGTAAATTATATTGAGGATCCCCAAGGTTGAACGACTGACCTTCCCCAGGATGCTACCCCACAACACGCTGACTAACTCCTAGGTGCCTATTTACTGCTAGGTGAACAGAAGCATTAGTTGATAGGAAACATGCCCAACCATTGCTGTCCTTCACGGAATTCGAACCCACGATTCCCAAATGTGAGTTGAAAACTAATCCAACTGTACTACTGTACACACAAAGGTCACCTATACATTTTTTTGTAATACCCTGACAGGACAGTACACACAATAGCGGTCACCAGTATATACAGTAGTTAACATTCATTATAATTTGTAGTCAGGACACAACAAGTTCGTAAGGTAAGGATGGCAGCAGAATACATAAGGTGGCTATGTATTGTTATCTGCTTTTCTTGTAAATGTTTGGAAATGATTGTGTGTGGTAGAAAAGTATTACATAACAATATAATTTCTGTGAATATTCTAAGCAGTTATTAATTGATAACATCTTTATCAATATTTTTTTTTCTATGCTGTGGAATTATATACAATGTACACTAAGTTGCAGCACCAAATATCAGTAGACACCCAAAGATATCACCACTAACACATTGTTTCATTTTAAATTCACTCCAAGTCTAAATTAATCATTTGCTATACAGTACTACATCTAACCTAATTGTCACATAACCTAATCGTACCTAACACACCCATAAGAGTGTTACTATCTAGAAGGAGCAAGCCAGTCTCATTCTAAAATGCCAAATATTTTTGTATAATTGGCTCAACTTGCTTAACATGCTCTAGGTTTAAGCCTGAGTCCAAATATTGGACAGAGGGACTCCGTTAGAACTAACTCCGATTTTACAGATCTCTGGGTGGACTGGAACAGATCTTATCCGATTGGGAACTCAGTACATCAACAGAAAACATAGACTATTCTGGTGAGTTGGGTTATGTCCTGTTGAACAGTGTCATGTAGAAAAATTTGGTGCCTAAAATATGTAGACTGACAAAATTTTTACAATGCAAGATCATAATAACAGTACAGTATTGCAAAAAGGAAAAATGCTAAGTGTTTGCACTGGATTTCCCAATACAATGGACCATGTCTTAACACGAATTGAGCCATTCAAGTGGAGTCGCATTGTTCAAAGTTGTTATTACAGTTCAGTATAGTAACCTCTTAACCATGCAGACTATTTTTGTACCATTGTCTGTCATGCACAAGAAAAAAAATTGTTCTGAAAAACAAAATCTTTTATCATTGTTTATTAGCATCCAGGAAACACAAAAATCCAAGAAAAAAGTTCCTACCTATCGTGGTTTAGCTGTAGTGGGCCCAGAGATGTTGCGTTTTTCAGTAAAGCGAGGTGAGGTGCCGCACAGGAATAACTTTGTTGATTTATTTTCATTGTTTCTCACTTTATTTAGTTTTCCATGCAAGCATGTTTTATTGATATGACAATAGTGGTGTTCAACTTTAAAAATATATGTATGTACAGATATATGTGTGTAAATATATACACACACACACACTATATTTATTCATACTAACACAGCATATATCGTATGCAGTCATCCAAATTCAGCTAAACCAAATATTTGGGTTATCCGGTCAAAATCGCATCCGGATATTTTTCTACCAAAACTTCGTCATATCTGGATAGCAATCCGGATAATCTAAGGTTCGGCTGGATAGTGCAGACTGGCATTGATTCTAAATCAAGTGTAAATATATCTTTTCCTCTCCCCTCCTGCCTTCATACCCCCCATTCCTTCCTGCCTTCATACCCCCATCCCTTCCTGCCTTCGTACCCCCATACCCGCCTGCCTTCATACCCCTATCCCTTCTCTCTCGCTCTTCATGCTCATACTTCTCTTATAGCCTTCCTTCTTTCTTATATTTCTTCTAATCATCTTTCCTTATTTTTTCTTGACCCTCTTCATCTGCTCTTTCCTTCTTCCATTCCACCTTCCTTCTCCTCTCCCTCTTTCCTCACTTCTCTCCTCCTGCCCTTTTATAGTTTTACTCCTTCATCTTGTACCATCTTCCTTCTTTCCTTTTCTCATCCTTCCTCCCCTCTTCCCACATTCATTCCTCCTCCACCTGTTTCTTTTTCTCCTGTTCTTCATCCACCCTCCCCCCCTCTTTTGCCTCCCCCTGCTCGCTTCTTCCTCCCCATTTCATTTTTCACCCCTCCTCTCCCCTCTTCTTTCTGTTACCCTCTTCCCTCTCTCCACTTATTTCCACGCCCCTTCCTCTCTCCCTCCCCCTTTTTCCTCCCCTCCCCTCTTCTTGCTTCCCTTCAGTCTTCTTGCTCCCCTTCCACCTTTTCCCTCTTCTTCCCCCTTCCTCCTCTTCCCCTCTTATCAACCCCTCCCCTTCCTGTCTTCACCCCTTTGCCTCTTGTTTTTGCCCTCCCCTCTTCCTTCCCCTCCTTTCATACCATTATATTAAAAGGTATATTTTTAACATTGGTGTACAATGAATATGTTCATTCATAGAATGTGCCAGCTTCATAAGGTGTTCAAATTGCATTTTGCATAACCATTTTTATATTTTCCCCTCAGAACTTAGCACTGAGAATTCAAATGGAGAAAATGGTGACGGAGGTGGATTCTCTGAGAAGTCGTCTCAGCAAGTACGAAGACGTGCAAGGACTCGAGCTGACTAGCGTGCATGAAACTCACTCAGGACGGGCTTTGCTCACTAGGCCCTGTTTGCATTAGCAAGTTTGAGTTTTAGGGTAGAGTAACACAAACTAATTCATTTATCCTTGATCTTGGATTAATAAATTAGGTCCAGAGCAAGCTATAGTGTTTAATTGCATAATTCATTAGAGACTTGAATGAAGATTTAGTAAAGTTTACTCTTTGTGAGTTGACGGTGTTTTCAGGCTAGCATAAATTGATGTATTATTAAAGCAAATTTACAGCACAATATGCCACTGCTGTGTCAGGAAACAAGTTATATTTTATCAAATGAGATGTCATCAAGTTTAGAAACATTTTTGATACTGTTTATATGGATCTATTAGTTATATACACCAGTTCAAATATTCTCTAGTATGCCTTGGTTATGACCTCTGGCCATTAAAAATTAACTGATAGATCCACATTAAAAATAAATATTTTACACTAATCACTGACATGTCCTACAGTAGGGAAGAGTGATGATGGTTCAGATGAGCTTTGGAAAAATATTCATGTACAAACATTTTTAACCCTTACAGTACTCCAAGCACTATACATCATTTTTTCCAATTTGATTTGTTAACTATTTTTAGACAGGTACACCTTAATATAATGTAATACTTTTGAATAGTTGCACAATTTAACCCCTTAAGGGCTACATTACCAAATGTAAACTGTCCAAAGGCCTGTTTTATGGGATGTGGGGGAATAATAATTCACACCCAATTCAGTCTCCAATAACACAAGGGATTACTAAAGTCTAAGCGAGTTGTTAGGGGTCCCGTAGTACAGAGGTCTACGTCCTTGACTCACACTCAAGTATCTCGGGTTCGATCCGCAGGTGGAATAGAAATGGCTGGGCACGTTTACCTTTTTTTTTTCTACACATATGGGTACAGGAATGGATGACTGGTGATGCCAGTTTGAAAGCTTTCCCATCCAGGGAGCCGGTCGGCCGAGCGGACAGCATGCTGGACTTGTGATCCTGTGGTCCCGGGTTCGATCCCGGGCGCCGGCGAGAAACAATGGGCAAAGTTTCTTTCACCCTATGCCCCGTTACCTAGCAGTAAAATAGGTACCTGGGTGTTAGTCAGCTGTCACGGGCTGCTTCCTGGGGGTGGAGGCCTGGTCGAGGACCAGGCCGCGGGAACACTAAAGCCCCGAAATCATCTCAAGATAACCATCCCTTAGCTTGTGGTAAGCCTTACCCAATACAGTGGTTTCCCTAGAATAAAATCTGCCAACCGTGTAACAACCAGGTACACAATCACTGCTCAGTAAACAGAAGTGTACAGTTAAGGATTGGCGCCTAGTCAATCTTTCCCGGCCAGGATACAAACCTGGGCCAAATCGCTCATGAAGTGCAAGGTGAGTGTGTGTTACCACTGCACCACCAGGGACTGCCTTTCACCTGATGCCTCTGTTTACCTAGTAGTAAATAGGTATCTGGGAGTTCAGCAACTGTTGTGGGTTGCATCCTGGAGGAGGTTAGTATTGTTTATCTATGGGAACTTCAGTAGGCCTAATTACGGGCTTACTCTCCCCAAAATACGAATTAAAATTTAAGGAATATATTTTATTTAAAAATGACATAAAAATGACAATTACACACATTATATTGATCCTAAAAACTATAAATTTATCAAATCTTAGAAATACACAAAGCTAGTGCTTATGAAAGGATAAGGTGGGGTAGGTGAAAGGTCAGTTGGAATGAGGCTTTGTAAGGTGAAGATGAAAAATATGAGCAATTATGTGTTAATATTTTTATTTACGAAATATTAATTTAGCAAGAGGGGTAGCAGTGTAAAATTTCCTTCGTCTGTTCGATGATGTAGTGTTTGATGGCTGCAGACTCTTAAAAATTGTCTCATAATGTTTTCATTCTTTATGATAAGTTTAGTATACATGAAGTTCATGAGATGTTGCTTGTGATTCCTGTGTGTGTGAGACAAGCGTATCATTGGTGATATTGACAAATATCATCAGTGACACTTATTGGTGATATTGACACTGGAGACAAGGCGATGGGTCACAATAATGTGGCTGAAGTAGTTTGACCAGACCACACACTAGAAGGTGAAGGGACGATGACTTTTTAGTCCGTCGTGGACCATTCTCAAGTCGATTGACCACAATCGTCTTGAGAATGGTCCAGGACGGATCGAAATGTTGTCGTCCCTTCACCTTCTAGTGTGTGGTCTGGTCAAACTGGAGGCACACTTACCTTATTAAATCGTCGCATTTGAGTTTTGGGACGTTTCTCCAACTGACATATACTTTGTCACAGTTATTGCACAGTATTTTATACCTGATATTTGGGTCCCGGTAGTACAATTGGGTTCATTCTTGACGCACAATCGAGAATTCCGGGTTCGAATCCCAGGCGGGACAGAAATGGTTGGGCACATTTCCTTTTACCTAATGCCTTTGTTCACCTAGCAGTGAGTAGGTACTCAGGAGTTAGTCATCTTGTTGTGGGGTTGCATCCTGGGCGGGGTCAGTAATTTGGCCTTGGTGTAAGAGGAGGGGGGAGATCTCGATAAAGCCAAACGTGTATGAATACACTCTGGCTTCCTGTCCCCCAACACAATGAATTACAGTAATTATTTAAAAATTATTATACACCCATGCTGCTGTCATGATGGTGCTGCTAGTCCTGCTTCTGATAAGGGTTTGATTGCGGTAGACTGTAAACCACGTAACCAACACCTGCAATACAGCCAATATAGGGACTGTGCACAAGACATCTACATGCTACAACAAAACCTTCATCAGCAGTAGACCTATCAACAACACTATCACCACAACAGGGTACTGTACCGGTATAGTAGGAATACAGTATAAAATACTGTATTCTATAATACCTGTATTTGTGACAAAATATACTTAGGTAAACCATCCCAATAACTTAGATGTGAGATTCTATGAACACAGTATACCAAAATTTACAAAAAACAAAAACAAAATAAAAACTTAACAATCTTTAGTAGAAATAATATGCTGGGAGCATAATATTTGTCAATTTTGGAATTTTGTTGTTGTTGTTCAAAATAAAAATCAGGTAAATCAAATAGTGGGCTATGATGTCATAACAACACACACACACACACACACGGTGAGACTCAAGTCTAGATTCTAAAGGTTGTAAGAACCATACTTTTCAGGAGACCAATTGTCCAAACTATCCCCACTCTTTGCTATCGTATATGTCACAAGCAATCTCTAATTTTTAATAAATTGTCAGTTTAAATATATATATATATACATAATATATACAGTACTGTATATACAAGAATAATCACAAAAAAAACATGTGATTCGGTTATGTGTAAGTATCTTCTAGGAAAATGAAATGGAAAATCTGAATGATTTTTATGTTTGAACATCATTATCAAGGAATACAGTATTCCTTGATAATGTGTTCAAACAAGAATATGTTTGGAATTTTTGTTTCATTTTCTTACTGGATACTTGTGCATATATATATATATATACACACACACACATATACATACCTAATAGCCAGAACTGCACGACTAGGCCTAGTAAGCAAGGATTGCTTTTCCTAACACCTAGAGCAATTTTTCATACTGTATTTAAAAAACACAAAAAATCTGAATTTGGGTCACTAAAAAATAAACATATTACAGTATATTGACAACATGAATTTCTAGCTTAGTTCAACCTAATATTGTATTTAGGTTAGGTCAGATTTTTGTTTGTCTTTACTCAAAAACTCTATTCATGTATATTGTAATAAAAACTATCATTCCATGAGAGAGAATTTCAAAAAGACAATTTTATTTAAGAAAATTTGGCTTGTTCAGCAATTCTGGTTATTAGGTACAGCATTTATAACATATATACAGAACATACATACATATTGTAGAATCCTAATTTTACATGAGGAATGCATCCCTGGAAACAGTATGTACCATAATGTTGAAAACATTATGGTGGAAAAATGGCATGTTTTCTGGACAAATTTAATTTGTTTCATAAGATGATAAATTGTTCTGGTGCAAAAAGCGGTACACAGTGAACAACATAATATGAAGTGTAAGAGCAATACTGAAGCAAAATCAAATCAGACTAGTCCCGAACACCGGTGAAGTAATTACCTAGGATAGCTGCCTGCTTCCTCCACCCAACATAAATTCCATTGTACACATTGTTAATATTATATATTTTTTATTAATATAGTATTAATGTTTATACAAAGCTTTGAGTATTATCAATAAATCTGATAAAATCCAGCCTCAATACTGTATGAAAGCTCAACCCAAGTTACCTGAATTTACCTTTGGGCCATCATCTCTAGTAGCCTAGACAGGGACAATTAAGTAGCCAGTGGGTTGTCAAAGGTTCCCCTATTATTCGTGAGGATTTTAAACTGAAGTATTGTCTTGGCATTTATGTCTTTGATGGGTAGGCAATTCCTGGGATTTATTTCCATTTGGATGAAAAAGCATCTGTTTTCCGTCCTACACTGTGGCTTGATACGCTTGAAACTATTTCCCCGTGTGTTTGTTTCATTGGACTTTAAAAATACAGTATGTGGTCTGGATTAAGATGTTCCAATTTATTAAGTATTTTAAAGTTCTTGATGAGATCTGCCTTGTTGTATCTGTTTTTAGTCTTAGATTGAGGCCCTCGATCTGTTCTTGGTAAGAGAGTTGACATTCCTCATACAGTTATTCTCCTCCTCATAAATTCGAATTATAGTACAGTACAGTACTATATTATAGTACAGTAATGTACTATAAACCTTAATAGATGTTCAGAACCTCATAGAAAGGAGTGACCAATTCAAAAATCTTAAGATAAAAATGTCAGAAAACTTAATGTTTTCAGACCACAACAAAACAGCCATAGTAACAGCCAGGAAAAATATACATGGATATTAAAAACATTTAAAACAACGGATACCACACGGGTGATAACGCTTTTTAATGACTTGTGTTATTCCATATTGCATATTGATGGAAATCATCCATAGGTCTATAGAATCTAATTTACAGAATTGAATATTACATTTATTGATTTTGCCATGTAAAAATCAGAGTTTTACAGAACAATGTCATATAAAATTGGGATCCTACTACTGTAAATATAAATTTTATCAGTCATGTCAAAGTTGTGAATTTAAAACATTATTTTTTGACAATTTAAGTAACTACAACATGTAGTAACAGTATAAATGTTGTAAATACAAAACATTATTAACAGATAAACATATTTTGATATTTAAGCAGCAGAGGAGAATTTGTAAGTTACCCATTTTCAGGAAAACTTTACCCAAAAAGTTTCTCAGTAAGTGGCATTTTACTTAACTTTGTATTTGGACACTGAAAGTAGGCATTTACAGGTTAAAGATAGTAGAGGTTGCAAGCATTGTTGAGTTGATCAATTTGATAAGGTCCTAAATATATAATGTACTAAAGAGCCAACATTTTCTCATTTGTTACATCACTTTGAATGGAGAGGCCAGAAGTGTAAAGTATTGCTGCTTTGATAGCTTTAGCTTAACATGGGAGATTGTAACACGAAAAACGATCTATCGTCTTGAGTTAATATATTAAAGATTTATTATAATTGTCTCAGATACTACAGCTAGAACACAAGTTCTGCAAGTGATACTGTCTTATAAACAACCACTGAGTATTGCTCAGTCAAACAGGGTAGCTAATTACAAATGGTTCTCAAATGCATTTGGCGTAGATCATTTCTGTCCAAATTTTAGTAGCTCAGACAGGGCCCACTGTGATGACCTATGATTGTCTTAACTTGCTGATGTAATGAAGTTGAATGCATCAGAAATTTAAGACTACCATAGATATGTTTTTTTTATTTTTAATTGGCTCTTGTAATATATTAGAAATGACATTAATTTGCCGATACAATAGTGATGCTTGCTCAATTATAATGTTGGTCACTTGTATAGTTTAATATTGTATTGGAGAAGAGAAGTTATATTTTTGGTGAAAATATATGTATGATATCTTGAATAATAAAAAAAAAAAAGAGGTATATTATCTTGATGTACAATACAGTATATGTTAACAGTTTTACCTGTAGGATAGTTGTAGGATACATTGTAGTAAGTAATGTTTAGTGTAAATAGTATACAACCAAGATGAATATTATGGACCAGTACTGTATGCAGTATTGTTTGTCACCTTATCATGGATGATTGCAGTCACATCACCGGTAATATTTTCTACTTTCATTATCTTCCTTTTTTCTTTTCCATAGTGAATTCATTGATCATTGTGTGTACTGATGGTTTTGTTACTCATTTTTCATTGTGTACAAGTTTGTTAGTCAGTATTCTGCTTTTAATTAGCCTGTGACTTACTCTCAGATGTTATTATATGTTATTATATAAAGTATAACAAACAGAAGGGTTTTTTATTTTATCATATACAAGAGAAAGACTCGTCACCCATGAAAAGTTCGAACCTTAGACTGCCAGGAGCAATGAAATCACTGACAAATCCAGTACTCTGACCAAATGACCACCAGACTTCAAAAGTATTGGATAGTCGAGACTATTTATGCCCAATACCTGATAGCGCTAGGTAGTCTGAGATCAGAAATTGTTTTTCAACGAATCAATTCACTATAGGGAAGAACTCGAGTCTCAATTGTAACCACAAACTTGCATAAACCACAAGCCGAATGTATCAGAAAGGCTCCTCACCATGAAAAGTTCGAACCTTAGACTGCCAGGGGCAATGAAACCACTGTTATTTACACTAAGGCAATAATCCCATAAAACACACCAATTCTATTCTAAAATTAACCTCCCACTCAACAGAAAACTGAAGACCAACTCACAAATTTGAATAGGAAAACAATAATACTGTGAACGTCATTTATTATACAGTGACACTTGCTCTTATAATAATAATAATAATAATTTATTTAGGAACAGTACATATATAGTTGCAGAGTTACAGTACAATCATTGTTATATTTAAAGATAGAGGTAGTACATACAATACCTAAAGCCACTAGTACGCATAGCGTTTCGGGCAAGGAGAGGTGGGAAAAAAAACAGACTAAAACTTAATAGTAATTGAGCTTAAAGTATAAATTGTGTTGAATTAAAAAAAATAAACGATAAAAAAAAGGGGGGAACATGGTAGAAAATAGCCAATATACAAGTTGGCATTTTGCATTTAAATTTTAGCATTTTGTTTTTTAAATAGTAAGACATGGGTTGACATTTAGAAGTAAGGTAGGTTACATGGAGTTAATTAGGTAGTACTTAGTTTTCATCTTAAACTGGTTGAGAGAGGTACAATCTTTGACATAATTGGGAAGGTCATTCCACATTCTGGGGTCCCTTGATTTGTAGAGCATTCCTAGTTTGATTAAGTCTAACTCTTGGAATATCAAATAGGTGTTTTTTTTAAGTAAATATTATTATGCTATTAGTAATATTGTAGGATAGAGAGATATACAGTAGTGGGGCTAAGTGGTAGGAGGGAGGGGTTGAGGACGATGGGAAGAGCTATATATATATATTATATATACTATACTATAGATATACTATATATATATATATATATATATATATATATATATATATATATATATATATATATATATATATATATATATATATATATATATATATATATACTGTACAGTATATATATATGTGTGTGTGTATAAATAATCATTGCACTACATTTATTGGGACGGGTCTGAAGCGAACAAAATTAAAGACAAATATACTTGACGATTACAGAACGTTACAGTGTGTGTGTGTGTGTAAATACAGGTAAATAATTCAATTTCTTTATTATGCACCCCATACCCATCCCGTAGGCGGTGGTGTAAAGGATTACAGAGGCACATAATCGGTTCAGGAACTGAACCCTCTAGTTCGTTTAGCTTAGCAAATATAAAGGTACGTTTCTCGTTTAGCTAAGCAAATATAAAGGTACGTTTTGTGACCGTCGTTAAACCCATTAATACCACAGTGGAACGAGAGCCTGGCAGCCCTCCCCAGAGTGGGTTACCACTTACTCTACATCTCTTCCTATATCATACCTTAATACACGGCTACTATAATCTATTATTTGTATTTTATTTGTATTTTATTCATATTATAATAGCGGTTTTACAGATAATAACTTTTTCACATGTTTATACAATGAAATATTAGTTAGCTGAAGGGAAAAATAGATAATGTGTGATCATATGGCAAACTTAAAGGTTTGATTACCTGCGTGTTGGGTGCTGCCTCTGCCGGACAGGTGGAGAATTATAGAACATTTTCTTAATTTACACAGCTATATAAACAATTTATTTAATAATATTAATATATAACCAATAAGGTGAATATATGGAAGCTAGCAGTAGTACTGTTTGTTCAAATTGATGAAGCTGGAGACTACAACCGACGCCATAAAATGAACACGAATACATGGGGCGAACTGACGCACAAACACCTGGCTTCAAACCTGGTGGTGGGGCGGCGAGAGGGAGGCCGCAGTGTGTGTCTGACCATGTGTGTGGCAGGTGTGTGGTGCGCGGGGCGGTGACGGCCACACATGCAACCTCTACACACCTACGGGGGGCAGCAACGAGGGGTCATGTCACGTGTGAGGGTCGTGGCAGGTGTGTCACGTGTGAGGGTAGTGGCAGGTGTGGTGATACTGTGGTGCATGGCGAGCGTGACCGAGTGTCAGTTCCGCAATGACCGGGAGGAAGACTACTATTACTACAACTCTCGCCGGGACCAGCGGCCGCCCTACTCCACCCCGGCGTCGGTGCGTGCCCAATACAACAGCGGCGACACCTACTACGGCACCGACCGTCGCTACGACACCCGCTACGACGACCCCTCCAGGGTCCGGGGCTTCGACAACAAGTTCCAGGAACCCAGTTTCCGTTACGGGGAAGATAATACCGACGGACGCCTGGGTAACCGTCGCTACGACGCCAGGGGCCGCGAGCGACCGGGCTACGACGGCCGCCTTTGGGACGCCCGTAACAACGGCCAGTTCGGCGTCCTAGACGGCTGGAGACCTGACCTCCAGGGTGAACAGCGGCCCTCAGAGAAGCCAGGTGCGGCCCTCACGGGACGCCTTACCCATCCTGTGAAATTGTTTATGTAATAATCTAAGACGAGGTCTGATAAAGACCTTTTGTGCCCTCTGTAATGCTTTTGCGCTACCGCTCACAGGATGAGTATGGGGTGCACAATAAACTAGCCGCCTTCGGCGGCAACAATCAAATCAAATCCTGTGGGCGGTGGCGGAAATAGTTTAGTCACAGTGTATTCACAAACTAAACTCTAGTGTACTTTAAGCTAAACAATACATACCAGCAGCTTTTAGCACTTTTCATACACTGATATGTCCTCTCTGACACACCCACATCCCTCGTGACACCTATATAATGTGCCACAGGGACGTTAGAACTTTTTTCAGTGTCAGAGTAGTGGAGGCTGACTCCATACACAGTTTCAAGTGTAGATATGATAGAGCCCAGTAGGCTCAGGAATCTGTACACCAGTTGATTGACGGTTGAGAGGCGGGACCAAAGAGCCAGAGCTCAACCCCCGCAAGCACAACTAGGTGAGGACATAACCACAACCCTCATGACACGCCCACATACCAGCAAACATTGCACACATAAACATAATGCGTTTTTTCACACACCCACCCACCACAGTACAGTTCTCACCCACCCACAGCCCCACCACACACACCAACATAACCACAGTCCTTATACCTCCATAGGCCAGTCATATCACATATTCATATAATTACAGATATCACATACATATATATTTTTTAATTTTAGTCATTTATGCATTTCATACCCGTCCAGTGGGCAGTGGTAGAACCCATACCCACCCCGTGGATGTCGGTGGAAACAGTTATCACATACATGTGATAAATAATGTGATCAGTGATAAATAATGTGATTATTTAGACACATAATGTGATCAGAAACTGAACCCACTGTTAATTTACCAAAGCAGGTCTACAACAACAGTCCTTTCACACACGCAAATCTTCACAACCACCACATAACTATGGCAGTCTCTCACATACCACATATAACTACAGTCTTCTCTCCCACGCCTAGATAACGTTAGAGAAGATTCAGAGGTATGCCACCGGACAAATCCCAATGCTTAGAGAGGCATAAGTAACGAGGAAAGGCAACGGGAGTTAAATCTCACGTCCCTGGAAGACAAATTAGCAGACATGATCACCACCTACAAAATTTTCAGAAATTGACAGTCTAGACAAAAACAAACTATTTAGCATGGGCGGAACACGAACAAGGGGACACAGGTGGAAACTTAGTACTCAAATGAGCCAGAGACATTAGATTTTTTTCAGTGTCAGAGTAGTTAACAAATGGAATGCATTAGGCAGTGATTTGGAGGCAGACTTTGTACACAGTTTCAAATGATAGAGCCCAATAGACTTGAAATCTGTACACCAGTTGATTGATAGTTGAAAAGTTAGGATTCAGAGACATAATATTTGTATAGCTAAGCATGTTGAAGTATTGATTAACTAGTTACATTATTTATTTATTTTATTTATTTATATACAAGAATTGGATTTATATTTTATATATTTATTTTATATAAAATTAAATATATTTTATATTAAAATTAAATATATTTATTTATATACAAGAATTTATATACATCCATTGGGGTTAATAGGGTACATAGCATTGATGATTTTACATTCTTGTAAAGCCACTGGCACACATAGCGTTTCTGGCAGGTCCAAAATCTAACAGTTAATTTTAAGTAGGTAATTTAGAGCAAAATTGACAAAATTTTTTTTACATGTATATTGTAAGAAAAGTTGACATAATACGCAAAGATTAGATTAATACACAATAATGACAAAGATTAGTAGGTACATTAGAGGAAAATTTGAGGGTTATCAACTGGTTTATTGTACCACAATGTGAGGATCATTTCAGGGTACAGTACAATGCAGTAAAATATGCACTCAATATAACAACCATGATATAAGGTGATAGCAATGATGATAAAGGTAAAGATTGTATGGCTTAGGTACATATATTGGGGAATTGGGTTGCACTAGATACAGTGCGAGTATAAAGCACTAGGTAGGAAACTATGGAGATGAAATTAGGTACTTTTTGGTTTTATTTTTGAATAATTCATTCAATTTCTTTGTTATGTACCCCATACCCATCCCGTAGGCGGTGGTGTAAAGGATTACAGAGGCACATAATCGGTTCAGGAACTGAACCTTCTAGTTCGTTTAGCTAAGCAAATAAAAATTTTTTGACGCTAGTTACAAAATTATTAATGTTGTATACACATGTACACACTCTCATACATACATGTACACATATATATACGTATACATATACATACACATACATATCTAATCACCCACACAAATACACATTAATAATCTTTGTGTCAAGGCAAGAGTTGGGACAGCTTTTCAATTCGTTAGGGAGTGAGTTCCATAGACAAGGTCCTTTTATTTACATAGAATGTTTACACATATTAAATTTGACTCTGGGTGCGTCTGGATTTAATTAGTGCATGAGTTAGTTTAGTTCATTTATTATGCACCCCATACCCATCTTGTGGGCGGTAGTGGAAAGGGTTACAGAGGCACATAATGGGCTCAGGGACTGAACCCCACAATTCATTTAGCTAAGCAAGTTACAATCTTGATGAACAAGTTACAAAATTCAATATAAGTCGTCACATCAACAATGGGTTCGAGATCGACCACAAGTAGTTTCTAAAATTAAGCAACTGACATATGTGGAGAACTAGTGTCACAATTGATAAGTTTGTCCTGCACACCGCATGAGCAGTCTATTTACATGTTGTTGTTATAGATTCAGCTACTCTGAACAGGTTCCAAGTAGCACGGGCTATGGTCAGCCCGTAACTTACCTGGCACAGGAGCGGGGCAAGAAGCACGGGCTATGGTTAGCCTCGTGGACGGGAGATGTCTCCCGTCTCTATTTACAGTTTTGGTTTCGTTTATTTCATTACAGCCTCATACCCATTCAATGGGCTGTGGCAGAAGGATCACGGATAGAGGGGTTTTGAAACCCTTAAAGTCCCTTATGCCAAGCAGTTTACATTGGTTTTGGTTTAAACTTCTTATAATTTACTGCACTTAATCTTTGACTAACTATGCTCTTCTCCCCAATTTTATTCTTCTGTTCCCACTTCCCCCTCTCCCTAAAGGGTAACTTTATCTTAATTTGATTTATTCATTCAAGGCTACAGTCGAACAATTTGATGAAGCTGAGTTATATAAGCAGGTAGTGTGAGCATTTTGAACTTGAATGTTTGATAACGTAATTCCAACGGATTCAAGAAGTCTAACAGAAGGGCGTGGGAGAACGATCCAGGTTCGAACTATGGATAGGGTGAGAGATTGGACAGCATTCATTCATTGTTCACCCGTATGCACTCGGTACTAATTGGTTACCTGAATGTAAAATTATTTCAAGATTGTGTTCTAGGGAATACAAGGTGCTAAATATCGAAATCGCATTCAGAATCATTCCTAAATCCCAGAATAAAAAAAAAATAATATTCAGGATTGAATTGATTTCTAGCTTGCCAAGTCATCGCGTAGAACTGACAGCAGGGAATTCTTATTCCAAAGATTAATAAATCCATTGCACAGCTCACACGGGAAAACTCGAGGGAGAATGGGAGCAAGGACCCTCTGTAGCCCCGGGCGTCCGGTTTCCCACCACTTCTTAAGACAGTGTCTAATGAGTGTACCTCAACATAAGCTTAAGAAAATTATGACTTTTCTTAGTTTACCAATATTGTTTTATTTTTGAGCGAGAAGGAAAATGTTTGAGCAGGTCCCACTCCGATCACCTAATGATGATTGAAAACACTGATCTGATAATGATTAAAACGATTATTGATAAATTAAAATTATGGTTTGGCCATAATAAAACCTATTCAGCCAACCGCCTGAAATGCATGATTTTAATCCCTTCAAGTTCAAGTGAGTTTTTTGAGAAAATAAAGTACATCTCAAAAGGATAGAGTAGCTTAGGCTATTTCTACCTCTCGCTCACGAAATTATAACCGTCATCAGTGCAAAGAATAAGGGCAAAAACTACGTTACGACTTGATGATGCTGTTGCGTGTTGAAACAAAAAAGTGCCTGCAAGAAAGCAAGCGTAAAATGCAAGTCAGTTTTCGTGAATTTGAGAGAGTCAATGACACAAATGTGCAGAGAACCGATATGAATTTAGGATCTATTTTTGTCTAAATCTGTTCTCAAAATAGAGGCAAAGTTTATTTCGTATTGTATTCGTTCCCCTATTTATATATAAATTTAATGTAATTTACACATGACTGACAAATGATTTGCTTGGGTTAGCACCACATTGCTAAAGAGAAGCAACCAATCCGTCAAACTTAAAAAATTGTATTTTTTTGCAGAGTCAAATCGTGAGGACAGGGTGTGTTGAAAGTGCTCTTCTCAAACTGCTTTACTTAGATTAAATGTAAATAATATCTAATGGAGCCGAAACACATGACGCGACGGTGGACAAAACCATGATATATAATAATATTAATATGTATAAGATAACAGTTTTCTATTCAAATATCCTGTTTACAGCTATTGCGTGTAAGACACCACAAGATCTTTCGCAATTATCTCTAAAAAAAATTAGTGGGCCGTTGACCAGCCTAACAGAAACTTGTGGATAAAATTATTTAGTAATTCCCATGCATGATTTTTGTTGCCAGTTGAATAACGATGCCGTCTCAAGTATGCAATATGAACATAATTTATGACTTTAGATACAATAGCCACTTTTAAATGACTAGAATTATAAAAAAAACTGGACAGCCTATGGTTCGATATTAAAGCAATTGAAGGTAACTTCCAAACACATGGAGTTATACCTGGGCATTGGGGTTTAGAACAGGATGCTCCTGCCTCTCACAATTGTTAGACCACTCTGACATGGTCCTAGGTGTCATGGACGACAAGCAAAATATGCTTTTGGCAAATTAGGAAGTTATCTTTAATTTTCTAATGGACAAAACC